GCACATTCCTGCCCTGGGGCCTTTGCACTAGCTAATCTGTCTGCTTGGAAGCTCTTCTTCTAGTTCTTCCCTTGACTACCTCTCACCCTTGGATCTCAGAGAGGCCCTCCTTCCACCATCTCCCTTTGTCTCACTGCTCTCTTTCATTGTATTTCTCTCTGCCTGTTTCTTCTTTTGAAATACTTCTCAATTTTTAATTAGGGAATATTTATTTCAAACAGGAAAAATATATAATGGTCATCTGTGTCCCCACCACACATATATAATTGATGTGGACATTTTGCCATTTTTGCTTCAGGTCCTTTTTTGTCTTTTCAAATAAATAAATTATTACAGTTATAACCAAAGGCCCAACTCCCATCCCTGCCTCTGCCCCCCAAAGTACCCACTGCCCTGAAGTTGATGTGTATTCTTCCTGTGCACTTTTCCATACTTGTTCTACATCGGGATGCATCCACCAACACTATGTCTTATTGTTCAAGGTCTTTTAAAAAGATACGTAATTAGGCTCCTACTGTATCATCTTGCAAGCTGCTTTCTCCATCATCATTTCTGAGATTTCCCCACATTGATACACAAAGCTCTGCTTCATAAACTTTAACTCTTATCGAGTGTTCATTGTTGGAAGAAACCACAGTGGATATTTCTCTTCAGGGCCAATGTAGTTTTTTTCCTCTTTTCACCTGTAACCTTGAACCTCCCAGTTTCTGTCTCCTTCTGCCAGAGGTAGTGTTTTTTTGCAGAAGTTTTGTTTAAACTTTTTCTTTGCCCGTGAGCTGCAGCAGGAAAAACCTTTTACATTGGCTTCTAGTACACACTTAAAAATATATGTAATGTCACAAAAGTTGCAGGAAACCACACTTATGCACTATGCCTCATATACTGTGTTATTTTCAATTCTATCCTAGTTCTGATTGCAATGTACTACATTGGTTTCATAGCCCTTAAATGGGTCATGACCCACAGTTTGAAAAACACTGGATGGTTCAAAGGAAGTGTCCACCTCCAGTCTTAGTAAGTAGTGATCTGCTGAGCTCAAAGTTGGTTGTCCCAGTGCGTACCCCCAGTTGCCTGTTTTTGTTTGTGGATCTGTTTTACAACTTCCAGTCAGGCCCCTGTGGGGCTAAGGCCACATGCTAACTCACCTTCAGCCCCCCCCCCCCCACCTGGACAGTGACAGCCACAGGAAACCCACTCTGGAGCATGAGTTCCTAGAGAGAGAGAAAACCGCTTTCTTGTCCCACCGCCCAGGTCTCACCTGTCCTGGGGCAGACTTTCCAGGTCTGGGGTCCTTAGCTGCAGGCACTGGGGCGTTGGGATGTAGTGGGATGATTTCCCATCACTGGATGGCGTTATCTGAATGGAGGGCACCTCCAGGAGCCTCCAGGGCTCAGAGGCCAGGTCCTCAGCCCTGCTATCCTGTAGCTGCTGGCTCTGCCAGTCTGCTGGGGGGACAGGTGAGTCCTGGACAACACCCTGGGTCAACAGGGGTGCCCCAGGCAGCAGGGGCAGGAGCTCAGCCATAAGGAGGTCTCTGCTTGCCCAGTTGGGGGCCTTGGACAGCTGTGTAGTCTCTGGGGGAGAAAAAAGAGAGGTGAAGGAGAGAGCTCCTGTCTGAACTGCCCCACCAAGCCTCCCTATGCTGCTCCACTGAGAAGGGCGATGAGCTGAGGTGCAGAGCATCGTTTGGGGGTCAGAGAGGTTTGGGTGGGATTCCTACCTCTGCCAACATCCTCCCTTCATGACCCTGAGCTTCAGTTTCCTCTTTTGGAAACTGAAGGTCCTGATGCTGACACCCTAGGGTGGCTGAGCAGTGTCAGAGAGCTCGGCCATGTGGCACACCCAGCCCAGGGCCCGGCACGCAGTAAGCGGTCAGTGAATGTCTGTTCATAAAACCTGTTCAGGGCTGGGGTTTATTTTTTCTGAACGTTCACCAAGGCCCAGTCCTGGGTTTTCTATGTACTTGCCAGCCAGCTCCCGTCCACACACAGGGCCAGGAAGGAGCCAGGCCTGAGGGGACCCCAGAGGCCTCAGGCCTGAGTAGCGGCTGATCAAGAGAGGCAAAATCCAAGATTTCCCTTCCCTGTTTGCTCAGCTCAGCAATTGCCCCTCCCAAGACAAACAAAAGGAGGGTGGCCAGGCTGGGTTGCGGCCTCCTCAGAAGGGAGGAAGCCACGCCAGTTCCTCTGGCTGCTGCGGCTGTGATATTGGAGGCCGCCTGGGTCTGGGGAGATCAGATCAGTGTCTGTCCTCACAGCAAGGGCTTCTTAGCACCCAGCTGCCAGAGAACAGGGAAGGAGGCCTATGGGAACCAGAGAAGGTTTCCCCTGGTTCAGGGAAGACCCTGACTCTTATAGGCCAGACCTGGATCCCAGGGTCCTCCCCAGGTACCCCAGTACTCCTACCTTGAGGCTTCTACCTCCTTCTGTCCTCATAGGGTTTGGACTTCCAGGGAAAGGTCAGGAAAAACAGGCCCTTCCCTCCGCACAGGAGTCCTGTCTGGGCCAGAGACGCATGACCTTGCCAGCTGGAATAGCGTGTCCACTGGAGTCATGTTCCCCTCTGGCCAGCTGGGAGAAAGGACAGAGTGGGGGTGGGGGTGTTCATACCATGGAGGAGGCTGAAGTCGGCCGTCTGGCCCTTCCCTCTCGACTGCCCCGTTGAGGAAGGGGCTGTCTTCACCCTAGGCCTCTACTGGTTCATCCTCCTGTTGGCTAGCAGCCAGCCACAATGTAGCTTCTACCCCTACTACAGCCCCAGAACTGCCCCTCCAAACCCAGGGATCCTCCAGGGGGCCAGATCCAAGACACTTTTCACTCCTCAACTTCCAGCCCTGCTCTTACAAGCAGCAACCTGGGAGGCCTCCTCTTCCTTTGGGAGGGTCTCACAGACTCCAGAATGCCGCACTTTCTGGCTCTCCTCCCATCTTACTTTTGTGCACAGCTCTGTCTCCTCCACCTGATCTGTAAAAGTTGGTATTCTCTATGGCTTAGGTCCAGACACTTTTCTCTGACTTTTCCATTTTTATTACATAACAATCAACACATACTAAAAAGTATGTCTGTCCTGTAGATGCGAGTTACAAAATATAACAATAAAATGAAGCCCATAAACCCCNAAGGAGCCAGGCCTGAGGGGACCCCAGAGGCCTCAGGGAGGCGGATGCGAAGAAGCAGCAGCAAGGGGGAGAGAGAGAGAGGGACGGAGACCCCGGGGGGCTGGTCCCTGCGGCGGAGGGACCGCGGGACTGAGCAAGGTCCGGATGGAGAAGCAGAGACGGCGGGACTTGGCGCAGGCGGAGGAAGAGCGAGACCGACAAATCGAGAGGGGCGGCTGGGACGCTGGAGATGGAGGGAGAGGGAAAAATACAGACAGACGCAGACAGAAATACAGAAGCCGACTTGATTAAAACAAAACACTGCCATGGCAGCTGCCTTGGCACAGGCTACCACCCTCTCCCCTCACGCCCGGAAAGGGGTCCTGCAGCGGCAATGATGCCCCTGGTCGGGAGCTCCCCGACCTCCCAGGGCGGAACCTGAGAGGCGGGGAGGAGCTGGGGATGGATGGAGATTCTGGGAAACCCAGGTGTTGGGGTAGCTTGCGCTGGAGGGACCGCAGCCGCGGGGGTGGCTAGGGACCCCTGCGCCGCCAACCTCCCCGAGCCGATCCCAGTGTCCGAGCCCCGGATGTTGGTCCCAGGCGGTCCCAGCACCTCGGTCTCTGGGGACCCCCTCTCGGTCCAAATCCCCGTCATCCACACCAAGTTAGAGTCCAGCCTCCCTAGCGCTTATCTGTGCTGTGACCTTGGGCAAGTCAGCCCGGTTTTGGGGATTCCACTACCTGTGCGGTAAGGGCTTTCCCATGGGACAGCGCAGAGAAGGGCCGCAGCAGCCCTTTCACAGACAGGGAAGCTCGGCCTCAAAAATGGGAAGTGACTGGCTGAGGTCACCCATCGGGTAGGCTGCAGAGTAGAACGCAACCCTGCTCG